GGTCACATGAGGCCAATGGGATGCTTTCGAGGGCCACTAGGATGCTTTTAGGGGGTATAATGGGGCTACTTGGATGCTTTTTGGGCCACTGGGTGTCACTAGTATGCTTTTTTGGGGCCACCTGGGCGGCAAATGGGAACCTTTTTGGGCCACTGGGGGCCACTAGAATGATTTTGGGGCCCATTGAAGTGCTTTTAGAGGCCACTGAGATGCTTTTTGGGACCACAGGGGGCCAATGGGATGCTTTCGGGGGCCAATGGGATGCTTTCGGGGGCCACTAGGATGCTTATAGGGGGCATAGTGGGGTCACTTGGATGCTTTTTTGGGCCACTGGGTGTCACTAGTATGCTTTTTGGGGGCCACTGGCGGGGCAATGGGAAGCTTTTTGGGCCACTGGGGGCAACTAGAATGATTTTGGGATCCACATGGGGCTTTTAGAGGCCATTGAGATGCTTTCTGAGGCCACAGGGGTCAATAGGATGATTTCGGGGGCCACTAGGATGCTCTTAGGGGGCATAATGGGGCCACTTGGATGCTTTTTGGGCCTCTGGGTGTCACAAGTATGCTTTTTGGGGGTCACTGGGGGGCAACTGGGAAGCTTTTGGAGCCTCAAGAATGATCTTTGGGCCATTGGAGTGCTTTTAGAGGCCACTTGGGACCACTGAGATGCTTTTTGGGGCCACAGGGGGCCACTTGGTTGATGTCATGGGTCACAGAGTGGGGCCACTATGATGCTTTTGGGGGGCATCTGGGGGCTATTGGGGTGCTTTTTGGGCATCTGGGGGCCACTAGGATGATGCTTAGGGAGGCCACAGGGGCTACTAAAATGCTTTTGGGGGCCACTTTGGGGCACTGGGATGCTTTTTCGGATCATATGGGGCCACTGCCGTTCTTTTGAATGTCACAATTGCCTATTTAGTATTGAATTATAACAAACAAAGTATAAGTTAATGACAGCGTAAAATTACAGGTTTGTTAAAGTAATGATATTATAAATAGGATTTACAACCACGAAATCATAACCTCTTAACCCAAAATGTTATCATGGGCACTTGTGTCTATGTCCCATATTTGGGATGCCTCTAGAACAAAAACTAATTTTTTCTTAGTTATGCTACCCAGGTTAGAAAAACATAAAAATTATTTAAAAAATACTAATGCATTCAATCTGTTATCATTATTGGGTTAAAATGCTTTTGACTTGAAGCTTCTAGCTCAATTTTGAAGGAAGTTGCATCCATTTTTGTAAAACTCATCTTAAAAACATTTTTGAGTTGCTTATGCCACGACTGGAAGCTGGCTGCACCCCTGATTAATAATTGCCCTTATGACATAATAATATAACACAGTCCAAATTAAATAATAATCTATAGTTATTAGATTATTTTGTCATCAAATTTTAAAAAGAATACATGTCAGTCAACTGGTCAAAATGTAACATGTCCTAAAGAATTCTTGTTTACAGCAGACAGTTTTGCTACATGATGTTACCATAGCAACAGTGTGAATTGAACATTTTTTATTTGAATTAGACATCTTTCATTACAGTTATTCAATTTTTTATGACCATAAATGTATGAAAGAAATAAACTAATAAACTCAACTAAAAGAAATAATCTAGTTGAAAGCATTACTGACCATTTTAAAGACGATAATTTCATAGAGTTATATAGCATGATTAAGATAAAATATGCAAGAACAAACAGTTATGACATCATAATTAAGATGCAAATCACCTTAATTGCATATTTTATAAAATATATGATTGCTTTATCTATTACCTTTCATTTGGTGCAAATTTCATCTAAAGCTGAGCAATAATGACGAAGATATGGGCCAAACACTGAAGAGAGCCCCTAAAAGTGGGTGTGACATATTTACTTTGTTACCATAGTGACGCTGCCGCGGATTCAGAATTGCCAATGTAATATATTTTGATTGCATTACCTATTACCTTCCATTTGGTGTGAATTTCATCGAAATCTCAGCAATAGTGAAGGAGATAGGAGCCAAACACTGAAAAGAGCCCCTAAAAGTGGGCGTGGCTTATTTACTTGGTTACCATAGCAACCCCGTCGCGGATCCAGAATTGCCAACATCATTTTTCTTGGTAAGTATCACGTATAGTTCATAAAAATGTAAGTCGCTTAGCTCGCCTCTAAAAAGGACACGGAACCTCATATTTGGACTTTTGCTCCCTTTAAATAAACATATTGTTAGTACATCAGTGTAAATACTCGCATCTGATTGGTCAATTAGCGGTCAACATTTTTGCCTGTACCTCACTTGTGCATCATGGGATATCATATTATTGACCGCGTATGTTACTGTACTACACTTGTGAATTATGGGAAATATGACGTCACAATGTTTACAGAAAAAACATGGTAGTCGGACATTTTGTACACGTTGATGAAAGTGATATTTTGACTTTTCTACACGACGAGTATATAGTAACAATACAAATAGAAACGCAAAATTAACATTAATTTTCTGGTGAGTACGCAGTTATGTGCCGAAAACAGAGAGTTTAGCTTCCACTGTCTTCAGATTTTCTTAAAAATTATTGCTGGCGTGGTTCATAGAAAAGATTGTGAAATGAAGCCATGATTGATGACTGTATTATTAGTTTCTTCTGACTAACAAAACAATTGTAGACCTCTCCATTCGGTTAACCGTCAAAATCATATACCTCGACTGTAAACCTTGAAACACTGTTGACCTCGACCTTCGGTCTCTGTCAACAGTAGCTTCTCGGTTTACAGTCTCGGTATACAATTTTGCCGGTTGACCTCTGGAGAGGTCAACAATTGTATACTGTACATATATAACAAAGCCAATAATTTCTAAAAAAATACAATAACAAAAATCCTGTCATTTTTCTACATCTAAAATTCCGCTATAACAATTGCGCCACCATTGATGGCGTCCTATGTTTCTTTACTAATATTGTAATATTGACTTGAATCTCCTCACAGTTTATCTCTAGGTTAGTTGTAACTCTGAATTCTGTATTTATCCATAAATATTGAATAAAAGTGAAAAAAGATTTTGTGAGAGTAAACAATAGGTGGTGGCAAGAAGAATTTATTTCCGAGCTCATACTACATGCATATAAATTCTGATTTTGAAAGTTGGACATGGCTATAGCTTGACTCCACTCACCATTTCAAACCTGCTTCCCCTTTTCCATTATTGAACAAAATGGTTAGATTTGAGACACTTTACAGGCCCATAGCCAGAATTTTCCAAGGGGGGGGGGGGTCACTTTCCCCAAAAATCTAGGGGGGGGGGGTTCACCTTGGCAAATTTGGCCAAAAATCACTCAAAAAATAGTCAGAACTGTGATAAACTGCATGATTTAGAAAGAAATCTCGCCCGAACCCCCCCCCCCCCCCCGGCTACGGGCCTGCTTTATAAAAGATGTTTAAACAGCATTCAATTACTCAATAAAATTCATTTCTAAATTCAGCAGCTTTAAGTATGGCATGAAATCAATACAGGGTAGGCCAAACTGTAAACTTTAAAATACATGTAAATTTCATAATTTTCTAGGAAATATACAGGGTGGGCAAATAAAAATTGGAACATTTTTCTAATTTTTTACATCAAACAGAGCTCACACTAACTGATCTTTTATCTCATTTTTGGAAGTTAATAAAAAAAATAATAAAAAGATACAACATTTTGTACAATAAATATATTTATATTATACACTTTTACGTATAGAATTGATTCAAACATTACTGGTACATCACACTCCCCTGTATAAATTTGGTAACCAAAAGTCCCATATGAATAATAGTTCAGACCCATAGCAAAGGGTCGGGAGGGTTGTTTTTTAAAATATTCCAGGGGGTTCAAGAGTTGTACCAATACAAGCAATGATGATGGAGACCCATCTCCACCTTGGAAATATCCCTGGGACTTCTTGTGACATGTGAAATTGTGACATTTTAGAGAGGACTCAAATAGCTAACTAAAAATGAGGCTCTAAAAAGAGAGCATATCTTAGGTTGGGACTTAAGGCAAAAATATAATTAATTCAATATTTACATAATTTTGAGTATTATTTGTGGTCGGTAAGAATTGACAAAAATAGCATTTAATAATTGAGATCAGTATAGTAGTCTGTACATGTATAGACAGTGTCCATGTTACAATAGTATGGTATAATGATAGCACCTAGCTCAATCCAATTCAAAATACGATAAAATATCAGCGAATGAAATCTCTAATTTTCCTCCAAATGTTCATATTCCTCCAGATTCATGTTCTACATGTAGTTTATTTCAACCAATCAGAGGGCTTATTAACTGTTCTTTATAACTCGATAATGAACACGTGTGCAATGTTGAAAGTCTAAATCAGCTGTTTCCATTGTCTAGTAAGCCCCGAGACTAGTCAGTCACTAGAATACTAATACAAATTGATATATGATACCCTGTATCGTGAAATATAACACTTGGTTTGATTGGCTTCAAAAAAATATATAGGTGGGAGATGCCAACTCAAAAACTCAAACATATTCATGTGCTAGGGAGAGGTATAAAGGCTTTCTGGATTGCAACTGGATCAATTTACACTTATCATAATGCATAATTGTATGACAATGCACTATTGTGAAACAATGCACAATTGTATAATAAAAATGCACTATTGTATTACAATGCACCATTGTATGACAATGCACTATTGTGAAACAATGCACAGTTGTATTAAACTGCACTATTGTATGACAATGCACTATTGTATAACAATGCACTACTGTATAACAATGCACTATTGTATAAGAATTCACCATTGTATATCAATGCTCCAAAGGATGCCATTTGTGATCACTGCAAATCCATAAAGAACTATTCTTCAATAAATGATTATTTAATTCTGTAGCTGCATCAATTTATGTGTATCATAATGCACAATTGTATAACAATGCACTATTGTATAACAATGCACAATTGTATAGCAATGCACTATTGTATAGCAATGCACTATTGTATACCAATGCACTATTGTATAATAATGTACCATTGGATGCCATTTGTGATCACTGGATACTGCATACAGAACTATTCTTTGATGATTTTTTCCTAGTGTCCAAATGAGTGGCTCTTCTGCGCATTGCTGAAAAAATAATATACAAGGGTTGTTCAAAAAGTTTTGCACAAATATATCAAATTGTGAGAATAATGGACCAATTTTGTTCATGATTGGTATGAATGTGCCCATGTCTTATTCCCTTACACTGTTGAACGACCCTTGCAAATATTTCAAAACTTTGAACTAGCTACATATATTTAAACTGTGTGCAATGTGTATATTTGTTTTTATTTATTCAACTCCTGACATGATATTCAAATATTATTCATATAATTATATGCAATTCTGAGTCTTTCGGACATTGAGCAGTAGGATATTGTAAAAGACCACTGAATAACCACATATAGACTTAACAAATATAGAAAAATTACAATACATAAGTGGAATAGAAGAAGTGAATACCTTCTACATAGATGTCTCTGTCAAACTGGCCTGCACATAGGGGTATACTGAAAACATACAGATATAGCATTCAAACTGGCCTGCACATAGGGGTATACTGAAAACATACAGATATAGCATTCAAACTGGCCTGCACATAGGGGTATACTGAAAACATACAGATATAGCATTCAAACTGGCCTGCACATAGGGGTATACTGAAAACATAAAGATATAGCATTCAAACTGGCCTGCACATAGGGGTATACTGAAAACATACAGATATAGCATTCAAACTGGCCTGCACATAGGGGTATACTGAAAACATAAAGATATAGCATTCAAACTGGCCTGCACATAGGGGTATACTGAAAACATACAGATATAGCATTCAAACTGGCCTGCACATAGGGGTATACTGAAAACATAAAGATATAGCATTCAAACTGGCCTGCACATAGGGGTATACTGAAAACATACAGATATAGCATTCAAACTGGCCTGCACATAGGGGTATACTGAAAACATAAAGATATAGCATTCAAACTGGCCTGCACATAGGGGTATACTGAAAACATACAGATATAGCATTCAAACTGGCCTGCACATAGAGGTATACTGAAAACATAAAGATATAGCATTCAAACTGGCCTGCACATAGGGGTATACTGAAAACATAAAGATATAGCATTCAAACTGGCCTGCACATAGTGGTATACTGAAAACATAAAGATATAGCATTCAAACTGGCCTGCACATAGGGGTATACTGAAAACATACAGATATAGCATTCAAACTGGCCTGCACATAGGGGTATACTGAAAACATACAGATATAGCATTCAGGCGATTATAAGACCAGAGGAAAGGAAACATACATTGGTACACTATTTGAAGATTGCTTGTTTGAAATAGAATCTTGTGAGAATATATGCAAATCTTAAATTGATTTTGTAAGGGAAACTTTAGCAAACTTTTGAAAAGCTCTCTCGTTTGAATGAATAAATTAGTGAACTATTCCACTTCCTGGTCATATAAATAAATAAAATAAATAAATACCATACATGCCTTTTTTAGTTATTATTTTAAAAATGAAAATGCTTATACTTAGTTGATTATGAATTATTTCGCATTTGCCTACCTATCAATCCCAGGCTTCAAGGAAACCTCGTAGAGTCCATACACCGGTCTATGGTCAGACACCTTTATACTGTTTGCGGAGTCATAGTGAAGGCAGCTTATCGCATGCTTCTTCTTAGACCTGTACAATATGCGGTCCTAAAATAGCAACAATTATCTTATGAGTTGAATAGTACATAAATGCAAACTATTTTTGCATTGATGGTTCACCTTTACTGAAGTTATGTGTTTTCAAATGTAAAAATTGACGATCGTGAATTCTGTTGTGAAAATTTGAAAAAGCCAACAGTTTTAGTTTGTGCTTTCCATTGTAGAAACGTACTGCATTTACATGTTCCTATATGACTCAACCTAAATCTCCTTAAGTGTTCTTATAGTACTTACTGTATATGAAGGTGTTCTCATTTTGGGTGATGAATCATATTCATCAGTTCCCACATCATACTTATAGGTCGGCTTGAAGTTGATGCGGCCTTCTTGGAAATGTTGAAATATGAGGTCTGAAAAATAAAATTATTCTTGAATAATTCAATATACATATACATATTCAATATACAGTATATGATATCTATCTAATACGAAGGTGAAAAGAAGGATGAAGTATATGACATTAGAGCTACAGCACTCATGCAAAGATCTGGAAACAAGACAAAAGTGGAATAAATTATCCATGATGCATTGAGTCTTCAGGGCTTATATCCTTTACAAACAGTCTTTTGATATGTGTTCTTGTTTATGATGTAATTATGGAATAAATAATGAACAGCCAGTAAATATGGTGAAATTCAGCACGACTTGGACAGAATATCGTACAAAGCACTAACCAAAGGTGAGTGCATTTGTACTGACATTCTGTCCAACAAGTTTGTAGTTATTTACAATTACAATTTCAAAATCAAAAGTTTGTAAATGCGTGGATAAATCTGTGCTCTGTGTTAATAGAAATCTGATAATAGTGCAAGATATTGAAATTCTATGAATTCTACTCAAGCATCAAAGTTTCATTACCATCATTCCTGGCCTTTGTGAGTTCATCCTGGGACAGCAAACTCTCAAAGTTTGGAAACTCATCAGAAGTTATACCATTGACAAGTGCAATCACTGGCTCCTTCTTCAACTGCAATCTAAAATAAGTCAAATATAAAAACATTTTTTAGGAAAAAAGAGTCCCAACTTTCCCTGACTAATATTTACAGCATCAGTTCACTTATTTCATCAGTTCATCTATTGAATTGCTTTTTTAATTTCAATCAGTTCATTAATTAAATGAGTTAATTTATTGCATTACCTTTAATTGCATTTACTAATTTAAATCACCCATAATTGCACCAGTCATCATTACTTTGTATATATACCTAAAGTTCAAGTCACCCATCCAGAAGACATTGTCAAATCTTGCGGTGATATCCTCAGCTCTGGGGGCATTCTTGTTGATGATCACCTTCCTTGGGAGTGTCAATGTGCTACAGATTGTGTTGAAATCCTTAATCCTTTCCTTGACTTTACCATCATGTGCTGTGGAACACATTGAGAGAAAATTCATATGAGATGGTGTTCATAAGATTGCAGTTGTGCAATATGATGTTAATTTTACCCCAGGCCCGTAGCCAGGGGGGGATTCTTTCAAAATCATGCAGTTTTTCACCATTTTGAGTACTTCTCAAGTGATTTTAGCCAAAATCATCAATTGTAAAGCCACCCTGGGAAATTTTTGAAAACTGACCCCCCCCCCCTTGGCAAATCCTGGCTACGGGCTTGAACCCCACCCCCCTCTTTCCCCAATACGAGTACAGTATAATGATATTTGCGTTTTGTAAAATACATTGAAAGAAACATATGCGAGAAAGATGTCCAAATGATGACCAAAATCAGGTTAATTTTGTCAAAGTAACACACTGAAAAGAGATTGTCTTGTTATTCAGCAAATATCCACAGACAAGTAAATGTATGTTACCATTAGATTAATATGAATTTAATTTAATATGAATAAATATTCTATATACCTAATTATTTAGTGAGAGAAAAAATATAGAATGATATTGAGCAGTAATTTTTATTTACCAGTAAAATGTGAAGACACAAACAATAGTGAAGTTCCGAAGAAATTGAATGAGATTGCAACGCCACCTTTAGTTTTAATTCCTGATGGGCCAGCCCGAGTTGAAATTGAATCATCTTCAAAAGCTGAAAAATATAAAAATACAGGGGTCTCATTAGCAGCAGGCAACAGGCGATTTTCACTGGTTGTTTTTACAAAATCGCCTGTTGTTTTAAGGGACTTTTCCATGGTAAATTCATGATTTCCATTAAGTTTCCCTGTTGTTCTCATTTATTTAGCCTGTTGTGAGAAATTCTAGTGAATTCCCTGAAATAGCATTTAATAGAATTGCAGATTTCCTACTAGCCTAATTGAAACAAAAAATCTTCAGTTTTTTGAATATAACATACATTATATTAGGAAGGTTCAACTACCCAAGAGAATGCGTACATGAAGATGTAATATTAAATGACCCCCAGGGATTTCTGTGATGGAAATAACTTTTCCAAAGTTTAGCTTTAGTTTTCAGTTTAAAATAGTTTATTTTTTCAAAGTTTACCCTTTTGAATAGTTTGAGTTTGCATTTTAAAATATTTTCATCTTCATTCTCCACCAAAATGAATATTTTCTGACAATAAATATTATTTTCTGCCTTCATAAGTAGCCGACATTTATTTCATTTTGAAATTTCCATGAAGGGCTCTTATTCTGACATTTGGATCTTATCAGCATCAAAGCTGTAAAATCATCTGCTCAAGTCAGAGGATATTAATTATTACTCTTGGCTCCAGGGTATACATTACATACCTGAACAGAACCACATGAGGTCTCGCCTGATGAATATATTGATGTAGAGGACGCCTAGTTGAGCAGAGTGGATGAGCACGTGAGATGGGCCAATAGTCTCCTGGAGCTTGATGGCCCATTCTTTACTGAAACACAAAGCACATGAAATGCATAGCATTATAAGCACATGGAATGAGACAAGCTCAAGAAGCTTAATGGCCCATTCTTTACTAAAATACAAAGCACATGAAATGCATAGCATTATAAGCACATGGAATGAGACAAACTCAAGAAGCTTAATGGCCCATTCTTTACTAAAATACAAAGCACATGAAATGCATAGCATTATAAGCACATGGAATGAGACAAGCTCAAGAAGCTTAATGGCCCATTCTTTACTAAAATACAAAGCACATGAAATGCATAGCATTATAAGCACATGGAATGAGACAAGCTAAAGAAGCTTAATGGCCCATTCTTTACTAAAATACAAGCACATGAATTGAAATGCATAGCATTATAAGCACATGGAATGAGACAAGCTCAAGAAGGCTTAATGGCACATTCTTTACTAAAATACAAACCACATGAAATGCATAGCATTATAAGCACATGGAATGAGACAGTCTCAAGAAGCTTAATGGCCCATTCTTTACTAAAATACAAAGCACATGAAATACATAGCATTATAAGCACATGGAATGAGACAAGCTCCCGAAGCTTAATGGCCCATTCTTTACTAAAATACAAAGCACATGAAATGCATAGCATTATAAGCACATGGAATGAGACAAGCTCAAGAAGCTTAATGGCCCATTCTTTACTAAAATACAAAGCACATGAAATGCATAGCATTATAAGCACATGGAATGAGACAAGCTCAAGAAGCTTAATGGCCCATTCTTTACTAAAATACAAAGCACATGAAATGCATAGCATTATAAGCACATGGAATGAGACAAGCTAAAGAAGCTTAATTGCTCATTCTTTACTAAAATACAAAGTACATGAAATGCATAGCATTATAAGCACATGGAATGAGACAAGCTCAAGAAGGCTTAATGGCCCATTCTTTACTAAAATACAAAGTACATGAAATGCATAGCATTATAAGCACATGGAATGAGACAGTCTCAAGAAGCTTAATGGCCCATTCTTTACTAAAATACAAAGCACATGAAATACATAGCATTATAAGCACATGGAATGAGACAAGCTCAAGAGCTTAATGGCCCATTCTTTACTAAAATACAAAGCACATGAAATGCATAGCATTATAAGCACATGGAATGAGACAAGCTCAAAAAGCTTAATGGCCCAGTCTTTACTAAAATACAAAGCACATGAAATGCATAGCATTATAAGCACATGGCATGAGACAAGCTCAAGAAGCTTAATGGCCCATTCTTTACTAAAATACAAAGCACATGAAATGTTTGATGGCCCATTCTTTACTGAAACACAAAGCACATGAAATACATAACATCATAAGCACATGGGATGAGACAAGCTCCCGAAACTTAATGGCCCATTCTTTACTAAAATACAAAGCACATGTAATTCATAGCATTATGAGCACATGGGATGAGCCATTTAATAGTCAATTAAAAGTTATAAACATATGAGATGGGGCAATAGTCTTCCAGAACTTAATGGCCCATTGTTTACTGAATACAAAGTGTCTGTAATGAAAATACTCAAAAGAAATTATTAAAATAATGAATAAAATTGAATTTTCAAATACTGTATAGAATTTGCACAAACAATTGTCACCAAATATGAAAAATATTATAAAATAAATGATGAATTGCAAAAATATACATTTTAGTTTTCATATTATTCTTTATTTCCCTTAATGTCCAAATTCATCAATCAATATAAGATTAGAATGAGGGCCACCACATGGGGAGGAATGGGGTGTAAAATTCTGAACTTTTAATTTCCATTACCTAGAAGCCATTTAACATGTGGTAAAAAATCTATTCCTGGGATGAAGTATTTTGTCAAAACCCTACCCCTTGGAATAATTTAGCATGCCAAACTCTCTCTACCTGCATTTTAGGGAGGTCTCACACAAACTTTTAAATAAGTGAATTAGGCAACACACAAATAAAAAAATAACCACATTTTGCCATACTTTACCACTTTTTGCCATACTTTACCACATTTCGCCATACTTTACCACATTTTGCCATGCTTTACCATATTTTGCCATACTTAACTACATTTTGCCATACTTTACCACGCTTTATCACATTACATTGGCATATACAGTGTATTGGAACATAAAAGACTTACCTATTTGACAAACTTTCTTGAGTTCCGATAACGTAAAGATCTTGAACAAACTCACAAGTGTCTGGTAGGATGAAATCTGATATATCCGCATCTATTGACTGAAAACACACAATGATTTGCATTAATTTATTTTAATATCTTCAACAAGTATCCATTTTTAGTCATTTAACGGTCAAGATGCTGGATAATACAGCAAAACTTGTAAAAGTGAAACTCTTTTGTTACTTCAAAACAGTTTCCAAATTGGAGGTGTTTAACAAAGGTTTATTTATATTGCATTGATATGCACAAAGTCTTGAATGTGTGTTCCATTTATTGAGGTGTTCCACTTACAGACATGTTCCACTTTACATGTTTTACTATAATAATTGTCTGTACATGTACTTCAATGTCGTATATTGGTTTTTCAATGAGTTTCAACATTGACATTTTGCCTTCCTCAGAATTTAGTCTATGAACTAATGACATGTCATTTAAAAGGCCCCGGATAAAGTATGAAAATATTGTTAAAAGTTGTTTTGGAATTTTTTCAAAAAGTTGACTTTCGCAAAAAAGTTATTTGTTTCTTAATTTTCAAATTGAATTTCGCGCCATTTTAGCTGCAAAAGTTGAAATTTTCAGAACATCAAATACAATACTATACACTATAAAACACATTATTTATTTTCTAGACTCCAATGAAGAGATAAAGTTACATTATTTCAACAATTCTTTTTTATGCATATATTAGATTTCATAGTGATGTCATCAGGTTATGCCGCAATGTTGTTTAGGGTGCAAACATTATTTTCAAAATTCATCAATTTTTTCTCCTCTAAATCTTTTTTAAACCTGCTAAACTTTCAAAATAAAACAATATTAATGGCCTAAATTAGCCGAAAAGAAGTGTTTATCATGCTATGTATATTTCTTCACCATTGGTTTCAATGAGAACTAAGATTTTAAAACCTCTTTTTCTCTTTACCACTTCTCAGTGCTTGCAATTTAATTTCCCTCTTATTCTTCAACCAATCTTCAAAATGCGTTCAACATAAAATAGATTAGGATGTAGGCTATCCAGTGGTGGAAAATATTGCTCATAAGTTGAGGTGCGTGACAACAAAAAATTAATCTGAAATAAGTTCACAAATTTTTGAACAAAAAGTCCTTCAAAAACAACTTTATGAAATAAAAAAGAATAAATGTTTTACATATCACATTTTGATAACACTGGGTAAGACAACAACATAAGCCAAAATGCCCAGCCTATCATCAGGTTTTTGAGGCGTAGACCAAAAGTTAACCTTAAATGCGCCTTACTTTCAGGTCTAGACTAAAAGTATGCCTCTTTTACAGGTATTTTTAAGGCTTAGACCAAAACCTAGCCTCATTTACTCACAATAATTCCAGTTATAGACCTTATTTTCAGGCGTATAGACCAAAACTGCGCCTTAAAAACCAAATCTAAACCACATTTACTTAGAAGATTTTAGAATAGACCTCACTGTAAGGCGTATAGACCAAAAGTGCGCCTGAAAAACTTGAACAATTTTCAAAATGACCAAATCTAGACCTGATAAACTAAGAACATTTTAGAATAGACCTCACTGACAGGCGTATAGACCAAAACTGGGCCTTAAAAACTTAAACATTTATAAAATGACCAAATCTAGACCTGATAAACATAGAATTTTTTTTAAAAACTTAGAAAACATAAATCTGAAAAAGCCACACTTACTGTAGTATTTTGTCAGAATCACGAAGGAGACAGATTATAATATATTAGGTTAACAGACCAGTAAACTGTATTTTCAACTCCCTATTAATGGTTTTATCAGAACTTTAAAAAATAATCAAAATCTGGGAAACCTAAAGAAGGATGTCTGAAAATAATAAAATATTGAAATATTGTTAAATTTAAATGATGAAACAAAAATACATCATATTAGAAGCCTACATATAATTTATATAAGAATACTGTGTAATTTTTGCTTCATCTTTCTAATGTGTTCATAGATCTGTATCTTATCCATGAGACAAGTAAATCCTAGAAAACAACACAGCAATTCAAAATAAATGCAATTTATTTAACAACTATGGAGGGTACTGATATGTACTAAGTACTTTTCTACTTTGAAACAACAAAACATGACCTGACCTTACTTACAGGTATATGAGGCTTGTACCTGAAATGAGGTCTAGACCAAAAGTAGACCTTAAGGCTTAATTTCCATAATTGAAATGTGCCTTAACGTAAGGTGTACACCAAAAGCAGAAGAGAAGTAGACCTGAAAACCAATAGTGAACCTCAAATAAGGCGTAGACCAAAAGTATACCTCAAATATAGACCTGATTTACAGATAGTTGAGGCTTAAATGAGGTCTAGACCTCAAATATAGACCTGATAAACCTGATGAGGTCATTAAATGAGGTCTACTTCTGGTCTACTTTTGGCTTAATTTAAATATTTGAAACGCGCCTGACTATGGGGATTTAACACAGAGAAAAACCAAAAGTAGACCAGAAGTACGCCTCATGAGTAGACCAAAAGTAGACCTCAAATATTGACCAATATTGCGCCTGACGATAGGCTGGGTGGTTTAAACTTTATATGGGGCCTTCAAACATAGACCTCTACAAGCTATGATTGACACTCTTTAGAATTATATCTAGTTACATTAAATCACAAAATACATGTATGGAATGCCTGTTAACTCTACTAAATGTATTGACTTTTGATGACCCTGACCTTAACTACTCATGACCTTGACCTACCATAACCATCAAATGTCAACCAAGGACAATCAAATGCCCAGATCCAAAATACCCATGTGTTGACCTTTCTGATGACCTTGAACTCTTTATATGCCTCTGACCTCATCCTCCTAAACAGGTATCCAGAATTCGTACCTCCTTCTTCCCCCCTACTATAACCAATTTGGAAGCGTCTGATTAATCTGAATCACGTGATCTAATTATGCGCAATGACCTATACATGATTTCTGTCGCAGGTTTGCGACAGCCAATCAGATTGCGAGTTCTTAATCAGGGAAATGCTAACTGCTTATCATAGGGGGTAAAAAGAATATATTCTGGATTTTGAAGCCCTGTGATCAGAGGATGCTCTGACCTTGATGAAGTGAATCCCCAAGGCCAAAAATTCTTTCAAAACTATGCAGTTACACTGTGCAAAAAAGGCTATATAGTAATAGAATATCCTGTTAACTATGCTCTAATATCAACTGTCATAGTGTGAAATATCTCCCGTATCTCCCGTGTTGTATAGACACATGCTATATCCAGATATTTGGCGGACAACTAGTATAGTTGATATTATTTGCAACTCTACTAAATATGAACTAATATAAGCTGTGTTATATATCAAGGCTAGCATATAGTTTGTCTACCACTCTATCAGATCTACAGATAGGATATACTAGCCGATTCTATGAACAACAGCTTCTTCTAGCATATATCAGGATATACTATTAAATCAGAGCTCCAAAAACAAGAGATACGCTAACTATACGAAATGACGTCATCACATCTTATTTCTGTAACTTATCTGGCTTATTAATGATTGATGACTTGTTTACATTGATAATTAATCCGTTTGTTAGAGTGAATGGATTAATTTTCTACAACCGAGGGTTCTTATTTCCTTAAAAATAATTTTTGAGTTCATTTTTTTTTATATACATTTAATTGTATAATGTCCCTAATGCTATGATAAATTTGTGTTAAATTTTGAATTTAATTGATCAACTCCATGGAAAGTTATTTTTTTATTTATTGAGTTTTCCTCTCGATTGGTTTTACTCTGCAGATTGTTTACACCTGACAAGAAAAGCTATTTAACATTAAAAACAGTTTAGTAATCTCAAACAATTTGTTTAAAATATCAGAGATTAAGCTGTTTCTATTTTGAATTTCACCATGACAAATTTACATTGATAATTAATCCGTTTGTTAGAGTTTATAACACATCTCATTGGCGCATTTAGATATGCAAGTAAATAGCATGGAACTTAATACTTCATAATTCATGTTCTATGTTATCTAGATTATCTGAGATAAACATCAGATTGGTCTCAGTAGTATATTTGTTTCTATTTTACACTGTAATATTGATCAGTAATTGGGAAATTCCATTAATGCATATTATTGTAGAATGATGCATACCATTGTAAATGTCATTTTATACTGTAATATTGAGCAGTAATTGGGGAAATCAATTAATGCAAACACTATTGTAGAATGATGCAAACCATTAAAATGTCATTTTATACAATAATATTGAGTAATAATTGGAATATTCAATCAATGCATACTATTGTTGAAATGATGCACACCATTGTAAATGTAAAGTTACACTGAATATTGAGCAGTAATCGGGATTCGGGATATTGAATCAATGCATACTATTGCAGAGTGATGCATACCATTGTAAATGTCATATATTCTGTAATATTGAGCAGTAATCAGGAAATGATGTAAATAACATCTTGAGACATGTCAGAGCAAAATGCTAAAATGTTTAATCTCTACTTATTCAATTCAGTGGAATGAGTTTTGAAAACGAATCCGTTTACTAAAGTTAATGTATTAATTTCTACAACTGACGGTTCTAAGTTCCAATAAAAATAATTTGCAAATGAATTCTTTAAAATAAATTTGATGGCATAATGTCCACAACGCTATGATTAACACTGTGTTAAATTTTGAAATAAATCCATCAACTCTGTGGAAAGTTACTGTTTTAATCTTAATAAGTTTTCCTCTCAGTTTTATGTGTACTACATTGTTTCTCTTTCACATTGAGTATATTAATCCATTTGTTAGAGTTTATGCATTAATCTAATGTGACATTTAGAGATACAAGAACAAGCGCATGAAACATAATACTTCATAATTCATGTTATATGTTTTCTAGATTATCTGAGATAAACATAAGATTGGTCTCAGTAATACATTTGTTTCTATTTTACACTGTAATATTGATCAGTAATTGGGGTATTCCATTAATGCATACTATTGTAGAAATGCATACCATCGTAAATGTCATTTTATACTGTAATATTGAGCAGTAATTGGGAAATACAATTGATGTAAACTATCATAGAGTGATGCATACCATTAAAATTCATTTTATACAATAATATTGCGTAATAATTGGGATATCCAATCAATGCATACTTTTGATGAAATGTTGCATACCATTGTAAATGTCAAATTACACTGAATATTGAGCTAGCAGTAATTGGGATTCGGGATATTGAATCAATGCATATTACTGTATAATGATGCATACCATTGTAAATGTCATATATTCTGCAATATTGGGAAATGATGTAAATAACATCTTGAGACATGTCAGAGCAAAATGCTAACATAAATGTTAAATCCCTAATTATTTAATTTCAGTGTAATGAGTTTTGAAAACTAATCCGTTTATTAAAGTTAATGGATTAATATCTACAACTAAAGGTTCTAAGTTCCAATAAATATAATTTGCAAATGAATTATTTTAAATAAATTTGATGGCATAATGTCCCCAACACTATGATAAACATTGTGTCAAATTTTGAATTAAATCCATCAAGTCTGTGGAAAGATACTATTTTAATGAAATAGTTTTCCTCTCGGTTTTACTACATTGTTTCACCTTCAGATTGAGTTTACATTAGAGAACAGAGGCTCCATTTTACACAGATACAACCTACAATCTGTATGCCCTTTGTTAAACAACGTGTATTCCTTTATATTTCACAATTCATGTTTTCTGTTATCTATTATATCTGCTGTATTATAAGTGTTAAAAAACAATTAAGTTATCTCAAACAATGTGTTTATAAAATCTGAAAACCACAAGATTATAGTCCCTTTGATAAAGAAGTTTCTATTTAGTAATCCACATGCCAAGTTTACATTAATCCGTTTGTTATAATTTATGGATTAATCTAATGGTACTTGTGTGGGGTACTATGATATAAAATTATAGAAAACAATTTTGAACAATGGAATGTACTAACTAATACTTATTAACTTTTGTACATAATCACAAAGTTATTTATCTTAATGACAATTCACTTTATTAATAGACAACACTGAAGGGATAATCTTCTCCAATTTGTTTATCTAATAGCTTAAATATTTAAGTTGTGGTTAATAAGCTAGATAAGTGATTTTTACTTTATTAGCGCTGCAAGCAATGAGACCTGATGACGTCATTTCGTATAGTTAGAGTATCTCCTGTTTTGGGGGTCTGATTTGGGAGTATCTCCTGATATAAGCTGAAATAAGCTGTCTCTAGCACAGGATAGGCTGCATATCTCCTGTCGTGTATATCCAGTACTGTATGAATAGTAAGATATAGTCAGTTTTGAAGAGTATAGACAGAAGATATTTAATATAGATAGCAAATCTCCTGATCATATTTCCATTTGGATTAGTATAATTTGGGACCTATTCTTTGACATACCATCAAATAATTTGATATAGGTGGTATGATACTCAAATTTGTCCGTATTAAACATTTAATATCTGACTATATTTTAGGGGATTCTAAGGAGATTTGCAAACTATTTATGCAAATCTCCTGAAATAAAACAGGAGATATCGCACATTTTGCACAGTGTTATTCCCCATTTTCAGCATTTTCAAGTAATTTAGTAATTTTTGGCCGATGTAAACCTCCGTGGAATTTTTCTTAAAACTAAACCCCCTTTGAAAAAGCTGGCTACAGGCCTGCCAATGTTCCCCATGTTAGACCATAAAACCAATGTATATTTACTTTAATATTGGTACAGCCAAAGTCATACTTCAACAGTCTAAACATAAATAGCAAACATTTTTGCAATGTACTCACTAAAAAGATAACATAACTGTCTTTTCTAAATTGATTCAATAGAACATGTCTCATTTGCCTTATTAAGGCTATACAAACTGAAATGATAGCACTGGTTATTGTATTGTTCAAAAGACAAATCTGTTTACTTCGAAAAATTCTAAAAAAACTATTCAAGTTCCATGAACTATGACTCGACACTTTTCTCTTATAAGTCATCTTGCATACAGAAAATAACCTGCGTTAAGATTGCAACATTTGCAAAATAGGCGAGTGGGAAGAAGACAACGAGTTTAAATCAGGTAATTTTTTCACTAGGTTAATGTTTTTTTATTTGCGTAATTATCAACACAATTATTTTGCTTGTAACACATTATATCACATTTTTTCATCGAATGATTTGTTGTGATTAATTGTATGTTTATATCATTTTATGTTTATTTTGATTAATTTATGTTTAATTTAAGGATGTTTCTATGCTAATTTTGTGTTATGAACATGTTCATTGTTCATATGACTTATTTTGTGTTAATATGATTGATTGAATCTTCTGTATTTGTTATATGTTCATATGATTAATTGTGAATCTATATGATTCAGTTATTATTGTTATTATTATATCACTGTTATATTCCTCACTTTCTAATTGGTCCATGTCCTACACGTGACTAAAAAATAACTAGCGATATTCAACACAAGTCATGTGATGTCATGACTTAGTCCAGGTTTTAATGTTATATATTCCAGGGAGTACTTTTATAGTTAACTAATCATCAATAGTTTGTTATTCCACTAAGTGAGAATTATACATTGAATAATAAAACAAATATTGAATTCTGTGACACTTTCATAAATTATATTTCACTAGCCCTTTGGTTTCGTGGAATATCACTTGTGAAAGATGCACAGGTATTCACCAAAAACAGAATTAATATTTGACGTATAATATTATGTTCTCTATATTAATAGGTGAAGTGCAAACATGACAAGACAGCCATACTCCAACTTAATGAATGAGATGATGGATGAAGATGCAAAAGCTGATACCCCTGAAGTAAAGACTAGCCAGCTGCAACAACAAATGCAACCCCATCAAGTGGACAGACCTGCAGCTGCATACGTAAAGGGGCCCACCACTGTCCAGTCAATCAATCCAAACTCAATCGATGGCGATAACAGACCCAGATGGGCTCACAAGTGCGCGATGATTCTGAGTATCATTATAATGATTTCTGGCGGGATTATGCTCAACATGAACATAGCAAGCTTTGCCATGGGGATCAGATTCCCTTTGCCGGCAGCAGGAATTTGGGGTGGCTTGGCAATAATTGTTATAGGTGGAATCGGTGTTTGTGCATCAACGAGAAAGTCAAAGTGCCTGATCATCTCTGTTATGGTCCTTACTATAATACTGGCTGTAGTGAGCATCATACTCTGTGCGTTTCAGATCATATATACATTGGCTAACATTCCTTTCGAATTTCGGGCTAATGTAATCCTTCGATTCACTATCAGTATAGTGATTGCGATTTGCTTTTTGGTGGCGATTGTCTCTGCTATTGTTATGTCTGCCTTGACCTGTCGTGCAGTGTGCTGTCAACCCGCTTCCCATATGGTTCAGGTTGGGTATATACCCCAAAACAACTTGGCTCCTGCCCCTGCAATGTTAATGGCCCAAGGAGGACATAAGGAGGCTATATTGGCTACATCACAAGTCTAGGTACAGCCTAAGTGTATTCAGAAGCAAGGGTTGATGCAGCCCTAGAATACAACCCCCCCCCCCGAAGGGCAACTCCCAATAAATGGACTGGATCCATTACAATAAACAGCTTCAGCAAACATTTTATAGACATGCAACATAATAAGAGAAACCCTTTATTAATCACATGTTATCCAAGAATACAGCCACCATAGCAATTCTCCCAAATACAGACTGGACCAATGGACCAGCCCATTGCAATGAACAGCTTCAACAGACATTTTAAAGAATTTTGAAAATGTCCGCCTTTTAGCCAAAGTGTCATAGAACAGTGTGTGCCATGCTTATGCAAATTTACATATCAATTATGAACAAAATCACTCCACTTCTGTACTTTTACAGTTACAGCAAAAATCATAAAATAATGTGTGACAACCACTTCTTTTCAAGATGGCCACCATATTTTTTTAAAATGAATGAATTTTAAACTCAATTCATATCCTCAAACTGGCAGCCATTTTGAAAACTGTCTTTCGAGCAGAACTTGTACTCATACGGGGCTTATACATATAAAATATAAACAATATTGGGCCAACGGTATTAAGTTATTGCCTCACAGACATACACCTCAAAGGTAATGCTTTTATTTTGTTCAAATTCTTTCTACTGATGACAACCATGTTTAAAAATTGAAATATGATCATCTGCCAATCCAAACACTTTTGGTGATCCAAGAATTTTGACTAAACAGTTTTCACTGCTGAATTAAAAGAATAAAACGTTTTACATATCACATTTTGATAACACTGGGTGAGACAACAACATAAGCTAAAGTGGTTTAAACTTTATATGGGGCCCTCAAACATAGACCTCTACAAGCTATGATTGACACTTTTTACAATTACATCTAGTAACATTAAATCACAAAACACATGTATTAACGCCACTTATTTTATTGACTTTTGATGACCCTGACCTTAACTACTCATGACCTTGACCTACCATAACCATCAAAGGTCATCCAGGGACAATTAAATGCCCAAATCCAAAATAACAATGCATTGGCCTTTCTGATGACCTTGACCTCTTTATATGCCTCTGACCTTGATGAAGCGAATCCCCAAGGCCAAAAATTCCTTCAAAACCATGCAGTTATTCCCAATTTTCAGCATTTTCAAGTAATTTTTGGCCAATGTTAACCTCCGTGGAATTTTTCTTAAAACTGAACCCCCTTTGGAAAAGCTGGCTATGGACCTGCAAATTTTGCCCATGTTAGACCCTATAACCAATGTATATTTACTTTAATATTGGTACAGCCAATGTCATACTGCAACAGTCTAAACAGAAATAGCAAACATTTTTGCAATGCACTCAGTAAAAAGATAATATTACTGTCTTTTCTATGTTGATTCAAAAGAATAAGTCTTATTTGCCTTACGTGGATCGCTTACTAAAAAGGTATAACTTTCAACAAATATTTAAATTGAGGCTATACAAACTGAAATGACAGCGTTGGTTATTGTATTGCTCAAAAAACAAACCTGTTTAGTTCAAACCACTTCCCTACTTCGAAAAATTCTAAAAAAAATATTCAAGTTCCACGAACTATGACTCGACACTTTTCTCTTACAAGCCATCTTGCATACAGAAAAGAACCTGCATTTAGATTGAGACATTTGCAAAATAGGAGATTGGGAAAAAGACAACAAGTTTAAACAAGGTAATTTTTTACAGGTTAATGTTTTTTATTTGAATAATTATCAACACAATTATTTACATTGCTTGTAGAGTGTCGAGACTGTTAGCATTATTGGCCCCCTGGCCTTCTAGAAAGAGGAAAATACACATTATATAATGTGTGTGAAAACAACAGACATCAAATGATTTGTTGTGATCAAATGTATGTTAATATCATTTATGTTTATTTTGATTAATTTATGTTTAATTTAAGAATGTTTTTATGCTAATTTTGTGTTAATATGAACATGTTCATTGTTCATATGACTTATTTTGTGTTAATATGATTGATTGAATCTTCTGTATTTGTTATATGTTCATATGATTAATTGTGAATCTATATGATTCAGTTATGTTTATGTGATTAATATTATGTTAATATTATATTCTCTATATTCATAGGTGAAGTGCAAACATGACAACACAACCATACTTGAACTTAACGAATGAGATGATGGATGAAGATGCTAAAACTGACGTAAAGACAAGCCAGTTGCCACAACAAATGCAACCCCATCTGGTTGGCAAACCTGAAACAGCCACATACGTAATGGCGCCCACCACTATCCAACCCACACATCCAAAATCCATCGATGGCAATTACAGAACAAAGTGGGCTCACAAGGGTGCGCTGATTCTGAGTATCATTATATTGATTTCTGGCGGGATTATGCTCATCATGAACATAGCAAGCTTGGCCATGGGGATCACATTCCCTTTGCCGGGAACGGGAATCTGGGGCTGCTTAGCTATGATGATCATTGGTGGAATTGGTGTGGGTGCATCAAGGAGAAAATCAAAGTGCCTGATCATCGCAGTTATGGTCCTTACTATAATAATGGCTGTAGTGAGCATCGCACTCTGTGCATTTCAGATCATATATGCATTGGCTAACATTCCTTTCGAATCTTGGGATGATGTACCTTTTGGACGAGAGAATGTAATCCGCCGATTTGCTATCAGCATAGTGATTGCAATTTGCTTTTTGGTGGCGATTGTCTCTGCTATTGTTATGTCTGCCTTGACCTGTCGTGCATTGTGCTGTCAACCCGCTTCACATATGGTTCAGGTTGCGTATATACCCCAATACAACTTGGCTCCTGCCCCTGAGATGTTAATGGCCCAAGGAGGACATAAGGAGGCTATATTGGCAACATCACAAGTCCAGCTACAGTCTCAGTGTATTCAGAAGCAAGGGTTGATGCAGCCCTAGAATACAGCACCCCCCCCCTCCCCCAGAAGGGCAACTCCAAATAAACGGACTGGATCCATTACAATAAACAGCTTCAGCAAACATTTTATAGACATGCAACATAATAGGAGAAACCCTTTATTAATCACATGTTATCCAAGAATACAGCCACCATGGCAATTCTCCCAAATACAGACTGGACCAATAGACCCATTGCAATGAACAGCTTCAACAGACATTTTAAAGAAGTTTGAAAAATGTCCGCCTTTTAGACAAAGTGTCATAGAACAGTGTGCGCCATGCTTATGCAAATTTACATATCAATTATGAACAAAATCACTCCACTACTGTACTTTTACAGCAAAAATCATAAAACAATGTATAACAACCACTTATTTTCAAGATAGCCACCATATTGTTTTTAAATGAATGAATTTTAAACTCAATCCATATCCTCACACAGGCAGCCATTTTGAAAACTGGCTTTCGAGCAGAACTTGTACTCCCACAGGGCTTATACGTATAAAATATAAACAATATTCAGCTGAAGGGATTTGAGTTATTGCCTCACAGACGTACACCTCAATGGTAATGCTTTTATTTTGTCCAAATTCTTTCTACTGATGACAACCATGTTTAAAAATTGAAATATGATCATCTGCCAATCCAAACACTTTTGGTGATCCAAGAATTTTGACTAAACAGGTTTCATTGCTGGCATTTGCTAAAATTAAAATCACTTTTTAGCTTTAGTTCTGTATTTATAACATATCTGCCAGTAAAAATTGCAAATACTCAATACTTCAGGTACATTTTGTGCTTTTAGGGATAGTGGTAAATTTGAAAAATAGTTATTGTAAAAATCCAAAGGGATTTAAATGTTATTACCTGGTTCCCAATTTTAGAAAAAGAAAATTGCAAAAAGTAATGAATAACATTCAAAACACATATGCATCTGACCTTGATGACGTTAATATTTGCGCATATTTCAGACTATTAATTTTCAATTTTCCTACATATTGACCTTTAATGTGATCTTAACCTAGAAACATGACCTTGATCTTGTGTGACCTCAACAGAACTGTCCATTGACCTTTGACAATAATTTTGAATATTTTCATCCTATTCACTCGAGGCAACATTTAATAATATAGATCTCTTGAACATCTCTTCCAAATAATACCTAGTTTATGGCCTTCAATATTGAACCTGAATCTACTCTAGATTAGAGACATCTGCCTGTATACAGTATGTGTTCACTATATACACATGTTCAATAGAGTAGACTCAGGTGTTCACTAGGCACAGATCTTCACTACAGAGCTGTTCATTATGACAGCTTTACTGAACCGAAATCACTGGCTGGGAATCAGAAATCACTTTTCACAGGTGTTCAATAGAGTAGACTCATGTGTTCATAGGCACAGATCTTCACTAAAGAGGTGTTCATTATGACAGTTTTACTGTACTGAAATCACTGGCTGGGAATCGGTGTTCACTATACACAGGTGTTCAATAGAGTAGACTCATGTGTTCCCTAGGCACAGATCTTCACTAAAGAGGTGTTCATTATGACAGTTTTACTGTACTGAAATCACTGGCTGGGAATCGGTGTTCACTATACACAGGTGTTCAATAGAGTAGACTCATGTGTTCACTGGGCACAGATCTTCACTAAAGAGATGTTCATTATGCCAGTTTTACTGTACTGAAATCACTGGCTGGGAATCGGTGTTCATTATACACAGGTGTTCAATAGAGTAGACTCATGTGTTCCCTAGGCACAGATCTTCACTAAAGAGGTGTTCATTATGACAGTTTAACTGTACTGAAATCACTGGCTAGGCCTAGGAATTGGTGTTTGCTATACACAGGTGTTCAATAGAGTAGACTCATGTGTTCACAGGCACAGATCTTCACTAAAGAGGTGTTCATTATGACAGCTTTACTGAACCAAAATCACTGGCTGGGAATCAGAAATCACTTTTCACAGGTTTTATATAGAGTAGACTCATGTGTTCACTGGGCACAGATCTTCACTAAAGAGGTGATCATTATGGCAGTTTTACTGAACCAAAATCACTGGCTGGGAATCAGAAATCACTTTTCACAGGTTTTATATAGAGTAGACTCATGTGTTCACTGGGCACAGATCTTCACTAAAGAGGTGATCATTATGGCAGTTTTACTGAACCAAAATCACTGGCTGGGAATCAGAAATCACTTTTCACAGGTTTTATATAGAGTAGACTCATGTGTTCACAGGCACAGATCTTCACTAAAGAGGTGTTCATTATGACAGCTTTACTGAACCAAAATCACTGGCTGGGAATCAGAAATCACTTTTCACAGGTTTTATATAGAGTAGACTCATGTGTTCACTGGGCACAGATCTTCACTAAAGAGGTGTTGATTATGACACTTGTAAAATACATATCACCATTTGTAATGGGTATTTATGACCTTTAATATTGATATAGCCAGAATTAGACTGCAGCCGTTTAAACTTTGATGGCCCATATAGATACATTTAGCAGACTTTTTTGAATTTACTCAATAGGAGAACATAATTGTCTCTTCTATTTATTTCTTAAAAATTCTGACTTTGAAGCAAGGCATCTTATTAGATTTAAATGGACTGCCTTCTAAAAAGGTGTAACTTTAGGCAAGTATTATTAATGAGGTCAATGTAACTGAAATGATGGCACTGGTTAGTGTTCATTTAACAGTATAAAACTTGTTTATTTACAAGTCATACTGCACATGTAAAATAACCTGCATTAAGATTGCGAAATTTGGTAATACGGAAGCAGGAAAGACATGATCTTTGAGTCAGGATTACACCATCTATATAGGTAATTAGAAATATGTTTATAATTTGTGAGCCTAGAAAAGTTTTGGGTTATTCCATTTTTGATACCTATGCTTTTAAACCAGTATACTTTTTTATGTTATTACCACCTTGCCAGGCCATTTCTAGGGGTTTAGTGCTAGTTTAGAAGGCGTTCATTTAACTATATCGACCTGAGCAATATGTGACGTCATAGTGGTGGTCAATAATGCATTTAATGACCATTCGAGAATGCATTTAATGACCAGCAATTTTACCCGGGAAACTAGATATCGTTCAGTGCGTAAGGCCCTCGGTCCAATATTTCACTTTATTATGCACCTCATTAAAATACTCAAATCTGATTGGTTCTTAGTTGCTTGTAATTTGGCAATACTCTGCTCTTTTCTGAAAACTGCCGGATATTTTTTTAATATCTGACCCTTTCGAGAAAAAGGGTCGGATATTTTTTTCAATGTTTTTGCAACATTCCCACTTCAGAGTTTTATTTCTTAATAACTGGAGTACTACTTACAGCTTACATCTGAAACTGGCGGAAAATAGAAGAAAAATGCACTTAATCAATCACAATTACCCTTATCATTCAAAAGTTACATATAATTCTGCAAGAACGTCTCGAATAAATAAAAATTAAATTCCCGGGGCAAATATTTTCGTCCAGTGTAGCGAATAAACTGGCTGGAAGTCGTCTGAGTTTTGAAAGAAAAAATAAATAAATGTCAAAATAATGTCAACTAAACGACAGTTAAAGCCTGTACTCCAGTAAGTACTCCACTAAACTTTGATTGGGAGGTGCATAATAAAACAAATACTGGATGATCAGGAGCTGGATATGGCCAGAATACCTATCCTCGAAAAAATATTGGGCTCGGCTGCCGCCTCGCCCAATATTTTTTCTCGAATAGGTATTCTGCCATATCCAGCTCCTGATCATCCAGTATTTGTTTAATATTGCCCTTCGAAATGACGTTATTGTACTATTGTAGACTGATTGGGTTAAATTGGTGCCTGCTTTATTTTGGTGAATTTGGCAAAATAAAGAATATCACCAATTTACATCCTCCACAAAAAGTCTGGAATTGTGTCTGATATATTGTAGTCGAAGTACTGAAAGATGAAAAAGAAAATTGAAAATTTGTGAGTCGGTCCAGTTGTCAGTTCGGAGCATAACTCAAATACTAGTAAACCAATTGTCTTCATATTTGGGTAAAGATGTATGTAACATTAGTGAATAGATTTATGCCAAAAAAAGGACTTTTAGGACTTTTTCATGAAAATCATAAGTTTTTTATTTACAACCAAAAGAGCGGTGTCTGTTAAGAAACTTAACTAACAAAGTTTGGGGTGGGGGTTTCAGTACTGAAAAGTTTTCTATCCGTCAAAATCAATGTTTTGAAATTTAATATAAGCTTTATTTCAAAGATATAGTAAAATGACACAAACTGTTCAACTGGAGTGACCAATTTAGATGCTAACCATATTCTTGTAAAAATGTTGCTAAAAGTTACTGATTTCCATCATATATTCACCAGCCTAAGGGGAGGCAATTTGCACTGAAAAGAGCATTTACAGTATATTTTCACGAAAAATAAACAAGGTTATGAGCCAGGTTAAAAATCTTCGTTTTTCTTTTCTTTCTCAATCTATCAAAGATTGGTATCAATTTGATAGGAAACTTGCTCAGGATTATGACTCTGAAATCTAATCTGAAAATAGAATGGCTTTGTATAAAAAAAACTCCTACCTCATACCCACCTACGTGGGACATGATACAGTCTAGAAATGTCAAGGAACAAAAAAAATCGGAACGGTTCGGTTCGGAACATTTTGCCTTGGAACGGAACAATTTTGGAATGGTTCGGAACAGGGTCGAGACTGCGTTTATTAGATTGAAATAATTTGATCATCTACGTCTTTTTGGTAGCGAAAAGCTCTTCAAAACTCTTCAAAGAGAAGGAGTAAAAAGAATGATCCTCTTTTGGTACAAAATATTGAAGGAAAAATGCTGTTTTGTGGAGATTCGAGGGCCAGAAGTTGTAAAAGGGTAAAATGTTCTTGTTCCGGAACCGAACCAAAATTCTTAATTTTTGTTCCGTGTTCCGTTCGGAGGGCATAATTCCGCAGGACGGAACAAATTCGGGTATCCGTGACACCTCTAATACAGTCATTAAAGGGTTCAATTTTAAGGATTTAAATCTTAAAATAGCTCTAATTATTAACATTTCTACAATTCCGGCTTTATTGTATGACTATACGGATGACAGTTTCATAAATAAAGGCATATGGGTGCATTGTAATGTGTAATGATCCGAGGGCCCCCAGGGGAATAACTAACGACCATGAGCATAGGTCCAACAAGCCAGATAAAGAAATTGAAAATAAGTGTGCTAAATGTGATGCCCCGAGTGGGAATTGAACCCAGCTGGGCTGTAGTAGCAACTTGCTATCAAGGGTCATTACAAATGCATCTATAATTCATCATAAACTAAGATTTAATAAACTAAGATCTTTAAAATTGAACCCTTCAAACACTGTATCATGTCCAACGTACGTGTGTAGGTGGGTAGGAGGTAGGAGGTTTTTCATACAAAAGCCAAATAGACCAATAGAATATACACACTTTCTCATTTTCTCCGCAATATCAGATGTCAAAATGGTTTTTAAATAAAAAGTCTGAAATCTGGAGTCTTGAATTGAACTTTGTTCAATTTCACCCAGTTTCACCAATTTCATCTAGTTTCACCAATTTCATATAGTTAATTTTGTGTTTACTTAAGTACATGTATATGATTAATTAGATGTTCATATAAATTATTCTGTGTTTATTTGATAAATTATAATTTATATTATGTTTTCTTTATTAATAGGTAAATAGGCAAATCCAGATCCAGATGGGCTCACAAGAGGGAGTCGATACTGGGCATCATTTTTAAGCATGTCATACACATCCTGTGTATAGCCGCCTTGGCCATGGAGATCAGATCCTACATGTATTCGCGATGGGTAGGAACCTGGGGTGGCATAGCCGGTATTGTCATCGGTGGAATCAGTATTTGTGCATCAAGGAGAAAATCAAAAGTCTCGATCCTTGTCGTTATGAGCCTTACTATAATGCTAAATCGTTATGTTTGTCATAGTATTTTTGGGCAGTATAAATCAAGATACAAAACAGAAACAGATGGTAACATCAATAATCTATGTACAGTATTCATTAAATTCATCTTCATCGAGGTTATTGCGATGTTTACTTTTGGCATTTTTTTGAATGCGGATTGCTGCTTCATGATGAGAGGTTCAAGGAGATCACGAGGAGACTGGGTCGAGCTACAATCGGCCAAGTATCAGGGAGGGTGACCGGAAAAAAGGAGACCATTTAAGGAGGCAATATCTCCAAAACTAGAAAAGTGACATCAATGACATTTTGCGCACACCAGAATAGTTCTATGGATATTTTTCCTGGAGGTTTTAATACCAGTCAACTGAGCAGTACAATTATACAATTGTCAATTACCCTTATCCCGATCACCTTCTTCAGGTCAGCAATTGTCTGTGGATTGTTTTTGTACATTTTGTATTTCAAGTAGATGGACAAAAGGAACTCAGGTGGATTCAAGTTGGAGATGAAGGGTCATCTGTATGGCTTATGATTCAATTGCGCTACTCAGTTACAGTATCATCTTTTATTTTAAAGAAGTTTTGGGCAGCCCTTGTTTGCCATATGGGATTTAATTGTGCCCTAGAGTGGATGCCACTACTCCCTATACATAAAATAACTCACTAGATGGGCAAAACTAACAAGTTGGCAACAGGATTATAAACCAACTCTTCATCTTCATTTGTAACTCTGTCATATACAGACTGGACCCATTACAATAAACAGCTTTATTCATTTTATAGACATGCAACAGAGTAAAGGATATACTATCAATCACATGTTATCCTAGAATGCAGCCACCATGGCAACTCCCACATATACAGACTGGACCCATTACAATAAACAGCTTTATTCATTTTATAGACATGCAACAGAGTAAAGGATATACTATCAATCACATGTTATCCTAGAATGCAGCCACCATGGCAACTCCCCCATATACAGACTGGACCCATTACAATAAACAGCTTTATTCATTTTATAGACATGCAACAGAGTAGAGGATATACTATCAATCACATGTTATTCTAGAATACAACCACCATGGCAACTCCCACATATACAGACTGGACCCATTACAATAAACAGCTTCAACAGACATTGTATAGACATGCAATAGAATAAGGGGAATCCTTTATTAATCACATGTTATCCTACCATATAATTACCTTGAACCTGTCTAATTCAAAATACAGTTAAACTTGTACTGTATATCCAAACACCTCTAGAAATATCAACTCCTCTAAATGTGAACACCAATTTTGTCCCAATGTTGCATTCTTCCATTGACTACCATGTTAAAAAAAACTTGAAATATGAACACTTGGTAATCTGAAAATTTTTGGTGATCCCAACGGTTTTCAAACAGACCGGTTCTACTGTACTTTTAATTTATTTGTTTCCTAGTTTGGCTTACATAATTAATACTTAACATCAATAATAATTGTAACTAACAATATGCCTTTTTAATATTTTAGCTTGTGATAAGACATACACCCACTAGGGTGTCATTATCGCTGATATGTATCTATGTTTTTATGATTTTAATAAATAAATTAATAAAAAAAATTATGTGCCTGAATCATATTTTAGCTTGTATGGCATAATTGCCAGAATAAATTGTATAAATATAAAAAGTATAAAGCTTCATGAAAACTGCCTAAATGGTGTGACATAATACAATATAACTTTCAAAGATGAGCCCTATTTCAAATACATGTCAGCTTTTTGAAATGTTTCTTGAAAGCAAAATTGTGATGTGGTAGTTGTCTACTAACAAACATGTAGTTATATACATAGAAACCCGATTGTCTTAACACCATGGTTACAATTAGGCTAATTTTAGCATATTATTATATTAGCATATTACCATATAAAAGAAGCCTTGAAATGTGAAACACCAGTTCATTTGAACACATTTGGCTTGTTCTAGCAGTGTTCAGTTGAGCAGGGGTTTCATTGGCAACATGCAATTTTACATGCTGTGTTCGCAAAATTGCTAAATTGTTTTGAGGGACTTTTCCATGTTAAATTCATGATTTTCATTTATTTTGCCTGTAATTTTCATTTATTTAACCTGTTGTGAGAAATTCTTGTGAAATCCCTGAATGAGACATTGTTTCATCAAAACCAAGGAAACACCAATTCAAGAAGATGAAAGCAAAAAATAATGAAAAACATTTAAGAAATAAAGGGCGAATTATTAATAAACATATAAATTGTAACTACATGTACATTGTATATTGTATGTAATAATTGCCATGAGATTAATGGACAGAAAATCTTTTCTCATTTTCCAAAGAATTAATTTAGATATAGAAATAGAGAAAGTTTAATTAATAATTTTGAAAATGGGAATTACCTTTAGTTCCATCATGTTCCAAGTCCCAACAAGAACTCTCAGTTTTCTATCTGGGAAATATCTCTCAAGTTCCTCTGTGCCAAGGAGAGAACTGCTACTGTTCATACTTCCCATTAAGTAGTTGCTGAATATAATCATGACAATATGCAATTATTAGAACTATAGAATAAGAACTCTCAGTTTTCTGTCTGGGAAATATCTCTCTAATTCCTCTGTGCCAAGGAGAGAACTGCTACTGTTCATACTTCCCATAAAGTAGTTGCTGGATATAATCATGACAATATGCAATTATTAGAACTATAGAATAAGAACTCTTGAGTGTTCTATCTGGGAAATATCTCTCAAGTTCCTCTGTGCCAAGGAGAGAACTGCTACTGTTCATACTTCCCATAAAGTAGTTGCTAGATATAATCATGACAATATGCAATTATTAGAATTATAGAACAAGAACGCTCAGTTTTCTATCTGGGAAATATCTCTCAAGTTCCTCTGTGCCAAGGAGAGAACTGCTACTGTTCATACTTCCCATTAAGAAGATGCTGGATATAATCATAACAATATGCAATTATTAGAACTATAGAATCTACTCGTTTGAGAATAGGGGGCACTTCCCATCAGGTAGATGCTGGATATAATCATGACAATATGCAATTATTAGAACTATAGAACAAGAACTCTTGAGTGTTCTATCTGGGAAATATCTCTCAAGTTCCTCTGTGCCAAGGAGAGAACTGCTACTGTTCATACTTCCCATTAAGTAGTTGCTGGATATAATCATGACAATATACAATTATTAGAACTATAGAACAAGAACTCTGAGTTTTCTATCTGGGAAATATCTCTCTAGTTCCTCTGTGCCAAGGAGAGAACTGCTACTGTTCATACTTCCCATTAAGTAGTTGCTGGATATAATCATGACAATATGCAATTATTAGAACTATAGAACAAGAACTCTCAGTTTTCTATCTGGGAAATATCTCTCAAGTTCCTCTGTGCCAAGGAGAGAACTGCTACTGTTCATACTTCCCATTAAGTAGTTGCTGGATATAATCATGACAATATGCAATTATTAGAACTATAGAATAAGAACTCTTGAGTGTTCTATCTGGGAAATATCTCTCAAGTTCCTCTGTGCCAAGGAGAGAACTGCTACTGTTCATACTTCCCATCAGGTAGTTGCTGAATATAACCATAACAATAAGCAATTATTAGAACTATAGAATAAGAACTCTGAGTTTTCTATCTGGGAAATATCTCTCAAGTTCCTCTGTGCCAAGGAGAGAACTGCTACTGTTCATACTTCCCATTAAGTAGTTGCTGAATATAATCATAACAATAAGCAATTATTAGAACTATAGAATAAGACCTCTGAGTTTTCTATCTGGGAAATATCTCTCAAGTTCCTCTGTGCCAAGGAGAGGACTGCTACTGTTCATACTTCCCATCAGGTAGTTGCTGAATATAATCATAACAATAAGCAATTATTAGAACTATAGAATAAGACCTCTGAGTTTTCTATCTGGGAAATATCTCTCAAGTTCCTCTGTGCCAAGGAGAGAACTGCTACTGTTCATACTTCCCATCAGGTAGTTGCTGAATATAACCATAACAATAAGCAATTATTAGAACTATAGAATAAGAACTCTCAGTTTTCTATCAGGGAAATATCTCTCTAATTCCTCTGTGCCAAGGAGAGAACTGCTACTGTTCATACTTCCCATCAGGTAGTTGCTGAATATAACCATAACAATAAGCAATTATTAGAACTATAGAATAAGAACTCTGAGTTTTCTATCTGGGAAATATCTCTCAAGTTCCTCTGTGCCAAGGAGAGAACTGCTACTGTTCATACTTCCCATCAGGTAGTTGCTGAATATAATCATGACAATATGCAATTATTAGAACTATAGAATAAGAACTCTCAGTTTTCTATCTGGGAAATATCTCTCTAGTTCCTCTGTGCCAAGGAGAGAACTGCTACTGTTCATACTTCCCATCAGGTAGTTGCTGAATATAATCATGAAAATATGCAATTATTAGAACTATAGAACAAAAACTCTCAGTTTTCTATCTGGGAAATATCTCTCTAGTTCCTCTGTGCCAAGGAGAGAACTGCTACTGTTCATACTTCCCATTAAGTAGTTGCTGAATATAATCATGAAAATATGCAATTATTAGAACTATTAACAAAAACTCTCAGTTTTCTATCAGGGAAATATCTCTCAAGTTCCTCTGTGCCAAGGAGAGAACTGCTACTGTTCATACTTCCCATCAGGTAGTTGCTGGATATAATCATGACAATATGCAATTATTAGAACTATAGAACAAGAACTCTGAGTTTTCTATCTGGGAAATATCTCTCAAGTTCCTCTGTGCCAAGGAGAGAACTGCTACTGTTCATACTTCCCATTAAGTAGTTGCTGGATATAATCATGACAATATGCAATTATTAGAACTATAGAATAAGAACTCTCAGTTTTCTATCTGGGAAATATCTCTCTAGTTCCTCTGTGCCAAGGAGAGAACTGCTACTGTTCATACTTCCCATTAAGTAGTTGCTGAATATAATCATGAAAATATGCAATTATTAGAACTATAGAACAAAAACTCTCAGTTTTCTATCTGGGAAATATCTCTCTAGTTCCTCTGTGCCAAGGAGAGAACTGCTACTGTTCATACTTCCCATTACAGCAGGAGATCCAAGACGTCATTTCCATTGTTCTCTTCATATTTCGCGTAGTAATCTACGGTGATTAGCCCGCGCGATTTTCGCATGAATGAACGTCATGGTTGATGCACCCATTTTTACACGACGGTGTCTCCCTCGTCTTTTATCGGTTTCCCACAAAATAAACGGTTTTGAAAAGCTTATATCAAGTAGTTTCAGACGGTCTTTCTCATTTTTTAATTTCATTCAAGGTCTGGTCTCAATAATCAAAATCGCAATTGTGATATTTTTATAGAAAACGCAAAAATGTGTACTGTTTTCAAGCCTTACGGATAAATCGTTAACGGCGGCCTTCACAAACAATTAGTTCAGCACTATCTAGCTCAAATCTAGACGATTTCAATGGTGTTATTCTTTTTTATCAACCCTGGGGGAGATGGGTTTCTGCCAATTTTTAGTGCGACCAAGTGTTTTTTAGAGCCATTTATTTTATCATTTAACGTCACATATTCCGGATTGTAGCGTGACTGAACTTTATTGGACGGATGTATCCATCTTTACACGATGATATCGCGCTCGTCTTTTATCGGTTTCCCACAAGGTAAACAGTTTTGAAAAACGTATATCAAGTAGTTTCAGACAGTCTTTCTCATTTTTTAATTATATTCAAGGTCTGGTCTCAATAATCAAAATCGCAATTGTGATATTTTTATAGAAAACGCAAAAATGTATACTGTTTTCAAGCCTTACGGATAAATCGTTAACGGCGGCCTTCACAAATAATTAATTCAGCACTATTTAGCTCAAATCTAGACGATTTCAATGGTGTTATTCTTTTTTACCAACCCTGGGGGAGATGGGTTTCTGCCAATTTTTAGTGCAAGTGTCTTTTAGCCATTTATTTCATCATTTAACGTCACATAATACCAGATTGTCGCGTGACTGAACTTCCTGGGAGATGCACCCATTTTTACATGATATTAGAGCACTCGTCTTTAATCGGTTTCCCACAAAGTAAACTGATTTGCAAAGCTTATATTAAGAAATTTCAGAAGGTTATTCTCATTATCTTATCTAATATATACATTATATTGAAGGTAGAGTCTCCGCCATAATTAAAATCGCATCCGGATATTTAAAAAATCCAACAACGATATTGTTTTCATGACTAACAGACACATCGCTAACAACCGGTTTTATCTAAAATTATTTCACCACTTGTAGATCAAAATAAGAGGATTTCAATGATCGTTATTCTTTTTTACCTATCCTGGGGAAAACGAGGTTCTGCCATTTTTAGTGCGACCAATTCTAATTTAAGTTCACTTCCATTTCTTTCATTTTACGTCGTCGCCGGCAACTTTCATAAAGAAATATGAATGGATATGCAGCCGTTTTACACGATGTATGATATCTTGCTAACCTTTCAAGCCTTGCGGACACATCGTTGACGATCGGATTTAAAAAATTATTGATATTATTATTGTGTTTACATGCCCCTGTTTTATATCCGAATTGTATTTCATGAAATAAGTAGTTTAAGTAAATTAATTTTATATTTCATTGTTCATTAAATGTCGCGTGAATAAGAAAAAAACGACAGAAACAAAAAGAACACGCAAAAATGTGATTTCTTCTAAAATGGCATGGACTGGTGAGTGATGATCAACTTTTTTAGCGTGTAATGTCCAAATTTTCTTATTTATTTTCGCCAACTATTGAATGTGCGATAAAAGTCATAGAGATGTTCACGGCTTTCGTCAATTAGCTTCAGCGATAATTGTTTTAAGATCAAGAACTCGGATCCCACTAGATTGGACTGTATTTTTCACATTAGCCCTTTGTGCAGAATTTCATTCCCTGTTTTCATTAACTAATTAAATGGATAAATCAATGATTCCTGTCTTTCAAAACCGATTGGATAAATTGGTAAATAATACACATACTTTGCATATCCATCCATTTGCCAGTACTATTCTAATAATGTGACAGTTAAATGAAATAAAAAGATTCTGAAATTATTATGGATCCCTGGGTATAGATCATGTGGATTGACAAATAAAAATCTGTGTAGAGCGAAAGTAAAAATATTTATTTATCCAATTCAAATATGGCAGCACTGGACATATCTTATTCAATACATATAGGCCTAATTGATAAGGATATATATAAAATTGAAACATCATACTGTGACTGTGCACACTTGCCAAGAACTAAAAATATGATTGGAACTTCTTTAAAAAATGTAAACTAGTTATACAAACTTCGATGGCAGATGTGTTCTCAGAATATACAGTAAAATATATTTTCACCCAAAGCATAATTAAATGAACTATCATATACAGGTAGAGTTCAACATAAAAAACATATAAATGTTGAGTTTTTTCACATTGATCAACATTTACTTCAAGGTTTATAATAACAGTTTTATTTTGAACATTATGCCTACATTTAAT